GAGGGAGGTGGAGGAGGGATGGGGATGTGGAGGGGGAGGGAGAGAAAGAGGCGAAGGAGGGGGAGGAGGAGGACGAGGAGGACGACAACGCTCCCCCATGCGTTCTGTTCCTCACAATCCCCCCTTCCACCTCCCTACTTTCTCACGCATTACCTATCCATCCCTCCTTATCCCCCCCCATCCCGTTCCTCCTCCCTCCTTTTCCCCCGTATCTCCTGTGCGCGCTCCCAGGCACCTGTTCCCGCCTCCTCCGCTCACCCCCTCCCTGTATAAAGGGCTCCTGGGCAGAGGGCAACGGGGCCCTCCGCGGGAACGGCCACGCCCCCGAGGGCTGCAGGGTCCGCCACGTCGAGCCCCCCACGCGCGCAAGAAAAAACGGTGGCGGATCCCAAGCACAGCCTGCGTTCTACGTCTAGCAAACTGATATCTCCACCACTGGGGCGCGACGCAAGACTGCCTGGCACCGCACCAGAAGACACGATGCGCCGCCCGACTGCGCCGTGCTCGAGCAGGTGGACCACGCGGTGCGCCAATAGTCCGACGGGAACTGACTAAGAACAAGAACTGATCTAGGAGTCACCGACCATAATGAAGCATGACAGCAACGCATCCTGAAGGAATTATCAAGAACGTGGCAAGTAGCCAACGCATCTAGGAGGAAATACGCAGAACATCGGCAGGAACATAACGCAGTAGGGAGGAACTCGGCGGAAATGGACAACGAGTTCAGGAGGAAGTCGGCAGGAATCTGGTAGGGAAGCAATGCATTCGGGATGAGCTGGGGAGAGAGTAAGCGGGATTGCGACTTCGACCTGCACTGCGCACCACTAAAAATTAAAATGCTCGGAACATCTCTTCAAAATTGTTCCATTCGTCCAGGGCGGCAAACTTCGTCAGAGCATGTACGGAATCACGCGCCTCATGCGCACCCGATAATAGTATCGAGTGTTCTGGTTCCAGTGCCTCTTGGTGATCTGAAGGAAATCTGACGAACTTAACTATTCGGTGCGGAGATCCCCACATGTGCATATATGTGACGACACATGTCCCGTTGCGAGCGTCTGCGTTTGAGAGATTCTAAACATGAACGGGTTTGAGTATGATGATCTGGAAACACGTGACTCTGAGTGTGAATGCGTCTGGATGCGAGTGAGTCTGAGTGCGGGTGAATGTATGCGCATGAGCGTGAGTAAATGCGAGTAGTATAAGTCCGGGTGCGAGCATCGAGAAAATTAAGTGCATTTGAGTGTGAGTAGTCTGAGTGTGGCTGTGAGTGCGCGTGTGGAAGGTCTGAGAGCATCTTAATGCGAGTGTGGACGTGCGAAGTCTGAATGGTCGGAGTGTGAGCGTGAGCTGAGGCTACGTGTATTTGGCACCGGAACAACTGAACTTCCCCAGGCATCCCCAGTCTTCCCCCGTTCTGAGTGCGGAAGCCAGCGCCCCGCCAAAGGCATCCTCACAAACTGTTCCTCGCAAACTGCTGAAGACAGCGCCCCGCCAAAGCATCCTAACAACTCACGAATCTGCGGCCCGCAACAAGCCAACCGCGTGAGACATCCCCGCAAGCTGGGCGCGAACGGGCCCTGGATACACCCTCTGGCGGCTCCCCCTTGGGTCGCTGGAACCAGCGCCTCGCCTCAGACATCCTCACAAGTTGCTCCCACACCTCCTCCTCCTCCTCCTCCTCCTCCTCCTCCTCCTCCTCTCCTCCTCCTTCTCCTCCCCTCCTCCTCCTCCTCCCCTCCTCCTCCTCCTCCTCCTCCTCCCGCCTCCTCCTCCTCCTCCTCCTCCTCGCCTCCTCCCACACCTCCTCCTCCTCCTCCTCCTCCTCCTCCTCCTCCTCCTCCTCCTCCTCCTCCTCTCCTTCCTCCTCCTCCTCCTCCTCCTCCTCCTCCTCCTCTCTCCTCCTCCTCCTCCTCCTCCTCCTCCTCCTCCTCCTCCTCCTCCTCCTCCCTGCTCCTCTCTACTTCCTACTCCCTACTCCCCCTCGCCTCCCCCTCCTGAGGACATTGCGCATGCAAACAGGCAAACCGCCTGAGACATCCTCGCAGTCTGGGCGCGAATCCTGGAGTGTCCCCACCCTGGCGGCTCCCCTAAAGTGCTGAAACCAGCGCCTCGTCAGAAACATCCTCACAAACTGCTCCGACAGCAAAGGAAGTTGCGCAAGCAGACACGCAAAACGCCTGAGACATCCCCGCAATCTGAGCGCGAATCCTGGAGTGTCCGCGCTCTGGCGGCTCCTCCTTGGAAGTGCCGAAACAAGCGCCTCGCCTCAGACAAACTCACAGACTGCTCCGAAAGCAGAGGTCGTTGCGCATGCAAACACGCAAACCGCCTGAGATGTCCCCACAATCTGAGTGTGAATCCTGGAGTGTCCCCACCCCTGGCGGCTGCCCCTTGTTGAAGTGCCCAAATGCCACGCCCGCCATATCGTGGCGAGCAGTGGCCCGAATAAGTCTGAGTATGGGCGAGTCTGATGATTACGACTGAGTCTGATTGC